TTTCCCTATAAATTCATCAAACAGACCGACCAATTTCGGTAGCGACGACGAAGAAACGCAACCCACAGTGTTCTCTTGGACCCTCGAAACGTCGTCGTATCATCGTGCAACTGCCTGTTCTTCGTTCTTGCACATTTTCTCGGCAAATTTTCTCTCTTCCCAAACAAGAAAATCAGGGGAAACAAAAAACGAAAGATCAGAGGAAAATTGAAGGAGCCATTCTCCATTCTCGTTCACGAAAACCCATTCTCTATACTTTAAAAGTCATGTACGTACAGTTCCCCCCCCCCTCCATTTTTCCTCTGTTTTCTTTTCGAAGCTTCGATCTTTCTCTGACCCTTCTCTGCAATTATTGCGATCTGTAATCTCCGGTCCGTTCCTTTCCGCTGTCGTTTTCCGACACACAGTTCGTGTTTCCGACCAATATTTTATGAATTCACCAATTGTCTTCGTTCGGCTGCTCTAAGTATCTCAGTTCATGCTCTGTTAAAATCTCCATGGAAGCTCTGTTTCCTTACAACCTCTCTCAAGAAAATAAAATAAAAATTCTTTTTTTTTCCCCTTCAATTACGAAGATCTCATCATTGCCTTTTCCCTGTCACATATAGGTTATTTTAATCTGAATCCGTACATACATTCATATACCTGCATTTACATATCTATCTATAGTTTTTTGGACTGATTTCCAACTCCTTTAGCCGATTTTTTTTTTCTTTTTTTCTTTTTCTGATATTTATTTATAAGCTTAATTTGGCATATTTAGAAGAAATAAAACGGTAAAAGCCAAAACTTTTCCATACGGCGGATCCATATTTCGATTTTACTTCCAAAAAAAATGAAAAAAGAAAAAGGAAAGAAGCTTCGGATTCAATGAAAACAAAAAAATCCGAGTCACTGTTGCATCTCTGTAAAGTCTAAGTTCGCTGGCTTAATCCAAAAGCCTTTTCCGATGTATTTTTATTACAACATGCTTATTTGTTTTTTTATTTCTTCCTTAAATGTTTTATTTATTTACTTATTTATTTCAAATTTCAGTTCTTGGGTTTTTTTTATTTCTGTCTCCGATTCTCCTGCAACTGGGTGTTTTATATTTCCCGTTGAATTTCGTCATTCGTAATATTCTTATTCATTTATACGATATTTTCTTTTTTTCTTATTATTTTTTCCTACTCCTGATTGGACTCAAATTGTTTAACATCAAATGTTTTGGTTATTTCTTTTCTTTTCTTTTATTTCTTAATTACATTATTAAATTTCCATCTCGATCCATTAACCCTCACGTATTAAGATTTCCCTTGCGTCTCTTGATATCCAGATTCCGATTAGTCATCGCACCCTCTTCTCCGTGTTCGGATTTCGATTACGACGGTGGAGAGAAAACGGCAGAGCGTTCGCTTCCAGAAACATGGGGAAGAAGAAGATCTTAAAGTCCACGGTACGTGATTAAACTGCCTGCCGTTTTTTTGCCAGTTATAAAACAGCGCGGTTTTCATGCGGGTTTCCTCCCCCCCCCCTTTTTTTTAATAGTCGTCTTGGCCGAGAACTGTCGTGAGAAAATGGCTGAACCTACGGAACGGCGCGTACGAATTCCACTCCGATTACGCCGTCAGGGGTGAGAAAACTATATCGTGCCGTTTCTCTCTTTTGTGTTCGAACTTCTCGCCGTTTCTGTTTTCCGGCGACTAAACGGCGTTGGTGGGTTTTTTTCCTCTAGGGAGAATGGAGCAGAGGAGAAAGAGCTGCTCCGACGGCGATTATTACGTCATCATGCCGGAGAATTTTCAAGGTAAATAACATTAATTAACACAAAAAAAATATCGAAGTCAAGACTTATATACATCTGTTATTGGGGTTGGTGGTGTTCGGATTTAGGGTTTATGTATTAATTAGGTTTATTTTCAGGTTTGATTTTTTTTTGGGTTTAGAAATAATTATTTTCGTTCAGATTTTTGTATAAGATTTAATTCGATTCAGTTCGTTTCTTTTGTGTACATTTTAGTTGTTCTTTAATTACTCTATATTCTTTCTGTTATATATCTATCCGCCACGTATACGGTAGAGATATTTGTTTAGCGTCCTATTACAATATTTATTTTCCTGTCAAATTAGCTAATATATATATATATATATTATACTGATTGATTTTGTTTTTCCTTGTTTTGGTTACAAAATAGGCTGGTTGACGGAAGAAAACGGAGGAACGAAACAAGCAAACGGCGAACCGGACGCGCCACGTGTCAATGATAATAAACTCGATCTCAAGTAATAATCATAGTTATAATTGCACTAATAAATAGCGGTAAAGTTGAATTTTTTAATTTCTAGTTATTCAATTGAACTTGGGTTTTTTTTTAATGTTGTTTTGGAATAGGATGTTCGTGGGAACATGGAATGTGGGTGGGAAGTCGCCACATGAAGAAATGAACTTAAGAGATTGGCTTAAAACTCCTTCACCCGCCGACATCTACGTTCTCGGGTATGCCATTTCTTTTCCCATATTCTAATAACTAAACATTATATATATATATATATATATATATATATATATGCACATATCTAAAATTAATTTATTACCACGAAAAAATTAATATTAACTTTAATTAGTTTATATGAAATAATTTGAATAGCTGCTACCACTAAAATATTGCTGCATAATAACTCTGTGTATGTATTTCTAACTTAGATAGGCCCATATAATTTACCAAAAAAAAAATAGATAGGCCCATATATATGTATACACGTATGTTTTTGTAGTTCAAACATGCATATATTGTGTGATAAAAAAAACTGTGTTGATAAATGTTAATTTCTCGTTTAGTTTTTAAATTAAAACCAAATTAGTTTTATGTATTAAGAAGAGTTGGACGATATATATATATATATACGATTATCGTTTTTGTTTTTAGGTTTCAAGAAATCGTGCCGTTGAACGCCGGCAACGTTCTCGGAGCAGAAGACAACGGCCCCGCGACCAAGTGGCTGTCCCTGATCCGACAAGCCTTGAACATCAACAGCAGTTTATCCCAAAACGACCCACAACTTTTTAAAAATCAGAAAATCGCCACCGAGTTTATGAATTTATCACCGCAACCCAGGATCAGCTTCTCCGACTTGCTGTCAATGGAGGGAGATGAAACTTCACAAAGCCCCGCAAGTTGCAAATTGAGCAATCAAGCCCCTCGCCGCCATTGCCTCGCAGCTAGTAAGCAGATGGTGGGGATTTTCGTGTGTGTTTGGGTTAGAGACGATCTTTTCAAACATATCACCGACCTCAAGGTTTCATGCGTTGGCCGTGGCATTATGGGATATCTCGGAAACAAGGTGGGTCAAATTCATTTCGGTATGGACCGACAATATTCCCGGTTTATTACTCTATTGTGAATTACGAATTCACATAACTAAGTATATGTGTTCTTGTAACTAATCCTTTTAGGGTTCAATATCGATCAGCATGTCATTGCACCAGACGAGTTTATGCTTTGTCTGTACGCATTTGACGTCCGGAGAAAGAGAAGGCGACGAGGTTAGAAGGAACTCGGACGTGACCGAAATACTAAAGAGGACGAGATTCTCTCGCTCTTGCAAAGATTGCGGACCCGAAACGATTATGGACCACGAGTAAGTATACTTTGCAAAAACGTGACTCTCTTATATCATATCAAAATTCGGACGACTCAAATGGGATTGGGATAAAAATGCTCCCATGTTGTTCAAATGTATTGCATTGTTATTCATACGATTCAGACACTCTAAACCGAACCCAAATAACTTAACCGGTCATGTGTATGAACAGCAAGGTAATATGGCTCGGCGACTTGAACTATCGGCTAAGGACGAGCAGCGACGTGCATGAACTGCTTCAGAAAAACGACTGGGAAGCTCTTTTAGAGAAAGATCAGGTGAATTGACTCAGATTTTTCTTATATATTTGTCAATAATTTTGTATGAGTAATTAATTAATTATTTGAATAAACCCAACTTAAATAGTTCAACCGGTGAAATGAGAACACAAAACGTTTGTCTTATCCCGATTTCGAATCTCAAATTATAAAGGAAAACGCAAATTCTAATCACATATCTTACTCCTGATGCCAAAATTAGTTTGTCCAAAACATCTAGTTACCCAAAAGAATTAATTATTTGAATATACTTGTGAATTATATAATTCTTTTTTTGTTTGCAGCTAAGGATAGAACAAAGAGAAGGAAGGGTATTTAAAGGGTGGGAGGAAGGGAGGATATATTTTGCACCAACGTATAAATATATAACCAATTCTGATGATTACGTCGTTCTCACGACAAAATCAAATGACAAGAGCAGAACCCCAGCTTGGTAAGTCCTTTACAATTTCCCCATGTATTTGGATATCAATTCCCTAATCATTCATGAAATATATTTATTAAAAAAATATTTATTTTATAAGCATATTTTAGTTGTATTTAAGTTATTTCACTTCAGGGTCCCAATATGTTCTTTACATAATTGATTGCGAACTTCATTTCAGGTGTGATCGAATACTGTGGAAAGGCGAAGGGTTGAAACAGATGTGGTACGTGAGAGGAGAATCAAGATTCTCGGACCACAGACCGGTTTACTCGCTGTTTTCGGTTCAAATCAATCTGGTTAAAGATCATCTAAACCGGAGAAATATACCGGTTAACAAGAAGCATCACCCAAACACGGTCTTGCCTTCGACGTGCGTAGCCAAAGTTCAAGCCGAAGAGCTCTTGTCGCTCTCTCGGACGCAAAGCTGTATAGACACTCAACCAAGATTCCTGTAGTCTGCTTCGTGATTTTTTTTTTTGGAGTGACACGTGGACAGCGTTGATGGTATGACACGTGGCGTTGGCCCAACATAGCCCAATATTTTTTTTTGGGGAAAGAATTCGAGCAGTGGGTTAGAGTCTTGATTGCTAGAGAAGGTTCTTTTATATATATAAAAAATTAGGAAATGGAAATATATATTATTGTTTTCTGTAATATTCTGCATAAGAAAAATGCTAATTGGGCTTGATCAAAAAGGCCTGTTCGTACCAAATCAAGGCCCATTCTTTGATGGGCTCATTCTTTAATGGGCCACTGTTTCCACATATGTCTGAATTGTAAACGATTTCCGGATAGTATTCAAGTGTGATTAGGGTTTTAATCTTCCTAGATGGTTGTTTACTGTCATGGTGATTAGTGTTTTAATCTGCAGGAACATATTGGACAACATATTAAACTGCCATCCACTGTGAATCCTCCACACCAAACAATATGTTGATACTACAAGTTTAAACTGTTTCTTCAACTGTTTTTCTCTGTTCTTGTTCCGTCTTGGGAGCTCTCTCTTGTCCGTTGATCGTGATCTCTTCAAGATCCAATCTACCGTCACGGTTTCCGCCCATTTCTGGTTTTCCTTGTGATGGTTCGCCATCGATCGGCGTTGACGGGTACCCGTAATCTTTGCCTTTTCCCCACAACACAAAGTACAATCCTACACATATAACTAAAGCACCAAGAACCCTGCAACACAGCAAGACCTCTCCATCATTCGTGTGTGAGTGATAGTTATCACATCACTTGTCGGGGGGTGGGGGGGGGGTTTCAGTTTACCTTCCCAGGTACATCTGCTCGGCGAAGATGACGGAGGACATGAATGCTACTATTACCATACAGAGCGGGTTAAAGGCCGTCACAAACACGGGGCCTCGGGATTTCATCACGACTCCTCCGATGTAATAAGCAAGTGCCGAGCATACGATTCCCTGCGTTTAGGCACGCGACGTTCACCATTTGAAATACCTTCATATATATTGAAAGTTGTTAGGGTGAATAATCTTTTTACACTATAGGTGGCGGTGAGAAGCTTGGTGTCCCAACCAATGACCCAGACGCCGGGATTTCCTTTCTCCATCACGAGAGCCACGGCTGTTCCCTCGATTGTTCCCATCAAGCATATCCAAGCCGTGAGTGAAAGCTCGGCCGGGTATGTCTTCAACGTGATTGCCTGTATGAAAAGCAACTCGGCCGAATATGTTTACTCACATAACATTCATCGTCAAAATGATCATATCATCCTCAAATATGCCTCGAATTGTGTTTAACGGATTCTCGAGCTCCAATAAAAACAGAAAAATGCTTCAATAGATCCTTAGGGTTACCTGGAGAATCATGAAACATGCGTAGCTGAAACAGCCTATTGTGATCAAAACCGCGCCTTTGATCGCGCTATGGATGTCTGTCCCGGCCGTTCCACCATCATTCGTCGACGCGCCTTTAGTCCAAAAGAGGTGAAGAACCGGGCCTTTCACGAGTGTCATCATCATAGCCCCAGAGACCGTAGCCGCTGTCCCTAAGATCTTAGCCGCGCTCCTGACGCACCGCAGCTTCACTCTCTCAAGCCTAGACACAAGAGTAGGTAAACTTTCTTCAGTCATATATGCTATGATTCCGTTTTTACGGCTACGAGAAATAGGGTGGACATGAATCGGGTAAACGAATTTGTATCTGAAGGCATTAATGGACATCACAATTTGATACATAATAGAATTCGGGGATTTGATATCAAGACTACGAGTATTCATCAAAGCGATCAGGTACCCATGATATCCAAACCAAAAAACTAAGAGACAAAATGATTTGTAATAAAGATAAAGAACATGTTACAAGTCATACAAATGTACAGCATGAAGGTAGCCGTTGAGGCTGTATTTGTACCAGCCCCTATATCGAGAAGGTTTAAGTCGCATTTGAGGCTGTATACCTGAAGATATAGGCGAGAACAAACGTGATAGCGGGTAAGACGTTGTACATGGCTGATGCAAAGGTAGCCGTTGTGTATTTCATCCCAAGATAGTACAAGTTCTGATCGATCACCGGTCTGCGTACGGATGGATTAACAAAAGGAAACGATCGATTATATATATATATACATTGAACACGAAGGGAGATCTATGTCGAGCTCGAGGCGTAGGAAAAACACTCAATTTCAAGAAAATTACTCAAGTAAGCCGAGCAACATTACGTTGATGAACACCCTCATCGTCATCTTCGTCCTCACTTTCCTGTTACACACCATTTTCACATTTCCGTCAACAACGCTAGTAAGCAATGGAATATTGCGAATATGCAACATTAAATACAGCGTTGCAGAGATTCGACACAAGTTAGTTGCTGCCATAAATTCCACTGTCGGTACAATTCTTGCGGCAAATTAGTATGTGTTTTGAACTTTGGAAGAAAAAAAAAGATTTTTTTTTTGTTGAGAAGTGGAAGGAGTGGATACTTGTCGAAATAGAAGGCGAAAGGGAGGATGGCGAGGGTGGCGACGACGTGACGGTAGACGACGAGGACGTAATTACTCATTCCAATGTTGAGAACGGCTTTGGAGAGAATGTCCATTCCCGCTAGCCCTACTTGCAATAACACCACCGATATGTACGGCCTCGCCTTCTCCATGCACTCTCTCCTCTTCTCCTCCCCCATTGCTTACTCCCCCAAAACTCTCTCTCTCTCTCTCTCTCTCTCTCTCTCGTTTTGGTTATACCAAAAAAAAAATCAAGGGGATTAACGTTTTCTTGAACGAGTTGATAAGACTGCCCTTGAATCCCTCCTTATATAGGCGGAAAAGAATAAATGAATGACGTGAACATGCATGCTTTACAGAAATTTTTATACGGTTACGAGTAAATATTATGTGTGTGTGTGTGTATAAATATATATATATTATGTGTGTGCGCGTATATATACATATATTGTGCTTTTTGGACAAACCCTGAATCTGATGCATGATGTATCTAATTTTGGCTCCGGTTTAGTTTTTTTATTTGTTTAGGTTGATGTGAGGTCCGGTTTAGGGCTTTATTTTGGTTGAGATGAACTCCGGTTTAGGTTGAATTCGTTATGGATCTTCACGTGGCTTTATGTTTTTTAATGGTTTCAGTTTTTTTTACTAATTACGAGTGTTGAATATACTTAAGATTTCTAATTGATGTAATATTATATCTTATAGATGCAATGTTATAAACCTATACCTAATATATATATATATATATATATATATATATATAATATGTTTTGACGTGTTGCCGATTAGAAAAACTCGAGTATATATAGAGTTGATCCAAATAATCAAATCCCAATCTTTTTTTATTTAGATATATGCGAGATTACCGGTTAAGGATTCGATTCAATTGGTTAGGAAAAATTAAGTTTCTCGAACCAAACCGGTTTTTGTCGTTGTTGGTCGTATTAATTGGTTGCCTAACTTCAGGTGATGTGCTTTGATGCATCACACTGTTTACCAAAATAAAATAAATTCAATTTAAAGAGTGGAATAATCATTTCTGTACCATTTTTCCTTTATTTTGTACTACTCCTTCCATTTCAAAATAATTATTGTTATAGATTATTTCACATTTTTTAAGAAAAAATAGAAAAAGTCATATATACCCTTATTTAATTAATGATAAAAACAATGTTATCATTAATAATTTATTGGAATTTGATAGAGATAAAATTGGAAACTATTGTAAAAAAAATATCTTTTGAAACTGAAGGTATATGATTTTGCCATTTTATTAATTTTTTAAATTAATTTTATGGAATGATTATTGATGTAAGTGCGTATAATTGCTACTGTTGTCCGGGATTCCTTTTTCACTGTTCATATTGTCGCCACTGAGCGATTCTGGTGGAATCACTTTAGATATATTATCTAATTAAAATAAATAAATAGAATTGATTGTGCCAAACAAAAAAAGGTGATATATCGATTCATTTTCCATCGAGAGAAACTTTCTTATCCAAATTATGTTCTCGCCCTCATGAATATTCACCCAAAAAAATTAGAAGCATGTTTTATTTATAATAAATCATATATATATATATATATATAGTTCGATAAAATGTTATTATTAAAAAAATATTTAAAGGACCAGAGACGTAAAAGAACCATAGAGTATCTACCTATGTGGGATTTAACTATATATAATTAATATTTAATTAATTTGATCCATTAATCATGTGTTGCTACCTAAGTTGCTATAATTATGATATAAATTTCTATATCATTATTGATTCTTTAATTATAATTTGAGTAAATTAGTTAGAAACACATGATTAAAGAATCAAATTGAATAAATTCTGCGTATAGTTAGATCCCTCATAGATACGCTCACATAATTACGTGAAAAAGCCCTACATTGTATATTCGCCGGACTTGTCTATACATAAATTATATATCTATTATTTTATTTCTTTTTTTTTGTTGGATACATATATATATATATATAACACTTCATTTAACGTATATTTTTAGCATATCTCCTATCTTTTGGATCAACATTTTGACATCTCTCTCTCTCTCTCTCTGCATTATAAATTGTTTACATCACACACGCAATCATATACTTTAATTAAAAACTCTACATTTAAAACGCTATATTTGAATCTTGGTGCGTTCCAAAGAAAATTGCATTTGTTTCAACCAATTACTATGTTTGTTAAATGCCACACCAAATTCTCTTTTGACATTTTAAAGAGAATCTCTAATATACTTGCCAATTATTGCGATTTATTATTTCGAAATTAAAAAGGTGCGTAATAAATGGTACTTATATCTCTTAAATGTAAAATGACAAAACTAAAAGAATCTAAAAAGTTTACCAAAAAAGAGTTTTCAGTGTTTTTGCGTTCATCTTCACTTTATGATTTTATCATTAGCCGATACAAGGTAAAAAGGAAATACTTCCCTTTCCAGAAATATCTTCATCACATTAAGTTATATATATATATATAACTTACAATAATTTAAAATTACGGAAAATAACCCTAAACCTCTAATTAACGTGCTAAAATTGTAAGAGCGAAATTAAATCGTTAAATATTGATTTGTATAATGCTTTCAAGGATTCAACTCTAAAACAATTACACAGCCTGGGACGATAAGAATTTAATCTAAAACGTACGTGATCATCTAGGATTTATAACTCTGAATATATGTATAGAGTATAATTTTTATTAGTTTTCAATTCGGACCATAAAAAAGAAAAAGAAAAAGAAAAACTACAAAATGTATATGCGCATGCATTAGTTTAGTTTCCACATTTTTGCGATATCGATTATTATCCTTTAGTTTTCAAGTAGATAACTAAAATTGGCCTTAGTAAAATAAAAATAATGCAAATATAAATTTGATTAAAATATTAATCCATATATGGGATCATTAAAAATAAACTCAACAATGTGGCATCACTGCCTTGATCAAACCTTAAACTTGCTTTGTGTGAACCAATAGAAGACGTGCAAGAAAGATAACATACGGGATTATAATAATAACAATAATATGCAACTTTTTTTTTTGGCTGAAAAAAGTATAAGATTCCGTGTGGTGCAACTGCAATCAAAAGATAAAAAGAGATTGATGTGTGTATGTATGTATGTATGTATGTATGTATGTATGTATGTATGTGTGTGTGTATGTATGTGTATGTATGTATGTATGGGATTGCAATAATTGGGAGATGGGGAAGCAGTTTTGTCTCGTCTCTCGTTCCTTCTATTATAATAGGAAACCATAAGCCTCATTTTATATTATCACTCTCCTTTATTTTCCTATCCGTTCTAAAAAAAACAAATTCATCACCTTTTCCTTTTTTTTTGTTATTAGATGAAATATTTTTCGGATTTAAAGATGTTAAATGATTTTTAGATAATGTTAGGAGACGGCCATAATTTTGATAAAAGTCTTCGCATATTCATCATGGTCTATAATTAATCTGGAAAAATGGTCACAATGAATGAATAATTAACAGAAAAAATAAAATGTTGTATTTTAGGATATTTTTTTTAATTTAATATTTGGTTTACGGATTCCATATTAAAACGGATGTTTCCAAAGTATTTATTGAATGAGATACATTAGGGTAACAACATGTACATATACTTTGCCACCTGGCAAACGAAGACAAAAGCAGTGTGTTCAAATCGAATAATGGTCAAAAGGCAGCAAAGAAAAAAATCATGTCGTGTTCTGAGATGTCCCGAAGCTCCTTTTTTTTTTTTAATTTTATTTCAATTTCATTATATTATTTTATTTACTTCTTTTAGTTTTAGATAAGTGGGTAAGTTGTTTTGTTGTTTAAAAAAAAAGTATTATTGGATACTAATGCTTTGGGAGGTCCACATCCTTAAAAACCATCAATTTCTATTTTAATTGGTAACAAAAACTATTTGATTTGATTTCCAAAGAAAAAAAGTAATCATTGATTTTGTTAAGAAATTGGGATGCTTTGGATGAGTATAATATTAAGAAAATCAAAATTACGTATTAATTTTTTTAAAAGTCATAGATGAATATCTTAGAGATAATTATTCAAAAAGAATGGTCACATTATTTTTATAATCCAGAAGTTCACCAGGTATTTGGCCCGATTATATCTCCCAAAAAAACGGAAAAGCCCAGGTGAATACCCATCTCCACGCTTGGGTTTGAACGCAGGGTGAGAGCATGTTTTGCATGTTCTCTCACCACTAGGTCACCCAAACTTAGGTAATTGTCAGTCAATGAAGCAATATTTAATTTTTATTTCTCTTTTGGTCTGCTGTTTTCCAACAGTCGAAGTTACCAAATAAATTACCATATTTTTTAAGTGCTAGCTCGTTTATAGTATTTTTCTACCTCAAAAAAAAAAAAAGGTGGATATTACAATGTTATAAATTAAAAACACACTGCCTGTAGCTAAGGAGCAAATGGACAATCATGCCGACTTTTGTGAATGCTATTATTATCTACAAGATAACCACACTAAATTGGCAACCATACCATATGTTGTATCTTTTTGCAGAACATATATTTATATATAATATTAGACAAAATAAATTTATACAGAAAAGTTCACCACCATCCAAAAAATAAATAAAATATTGATAATCTATTAGATAAACAAATATATAACATTGAAATACAAGGTAGCCGTTGTGTATTTCATCCCAAGATAGTACAAGTTCTGATCGATCACCGGTCTGCGTACGGATGGATTAACAAAAGGAAACGATCGATTATATATATATATACATTGAACACGAAGGGGGATCTATGTCGAGCTCGAGGCGTAGGAAAAACACTCAATTTCAAGAAAATTACTCAAGTAAGCCGAGCAACATTACGTTGATGAACACCCTCATCGTCATCTTCGTCCTCACTTTCCTGTTACACACCATTTTCACATTTCCGTCAACAACGCTAGTAAGCAATGGAATATTGCGAATATGCAACATTAAATACAGCGTTGCAGAGATTCGACACAAGTTAGTTGCTGCCATAAATTCCACTGTCGGTACAATTCTTGCGGCAAATTAGTATGTGTTTTGAACTTTGGAAGAAAAAAAAAGATTTTTTTTTTGTTGAGAAATATATATATATATATATATATATATATATATATATATATATATACGCATATGTTCTAAAAGAGCATGATTGATGAATTTTGTTTATATATAGAAAAATATACAAGACATGGCACATGAAAATATGTATGAGATTTGGAGAATATATCTAACTGATTTAGTAGGTGATTGGTATCAAATATGGTGTCAGTTGAACCGGTCCGGAGTTAAATTGGTATTCCTAAAATTAAATCTGGTTAGAGTTAAATGGTATCGATTTGTTAGTTTAATTATATTGATTCGATTTTTATCATTAAAATATTACATTTTAAAATGAATCAATTTTTGCATTTTTTTTATTATAAAAACATATACTTTTTAATATATATATCCAACATGATTAGAAATTAACCTAGAAAAAAATTACAGATGAATGTTTTTTTTCTTCTGTAATTAGTTTTTTTTAGTATGTGGTTGTTGACTAGACATCAGAGGTGTTTTTGTCATCGACTGTTTTTGCCACTTGAACTCTTTTTTGTTCTTAGTGCTTTCTTCATCAGACTTAACTTAGTCCTATTGTCATCACATTTTATTATCCCTTTTGAAATGCAAATAAAAAAAACAGACAACGGTAGTTTAGGTATCTATTGTTTCATTGTTTTTCGAAATATAAAATTCATGACGAGTTTCTATATTTTGAATATGTAAATATGTGTCGTGTTTTGTTGAATTTTGATATTTATAATTTATGTGCGCTGCAACAGATATGATTAGGGCGGTGGGTTTTCTCAGGTCCACTTTACGAGGCTGGTTTACGTAGTTTGTCGGTTGCTGCACAAAACGGTGGGTTTTCTCAGGTCCGCGATGCTGTCCTTGATGTCGTTTTTGTCCGACCCATGGGCTGAGAGGCGCTGCGGTGTCCAGTATCCGACCCGAAGGGTTATAGAATAGAGTTTCTCATCGTAACAAAAAAAAAAACAGATAGGATCATATGTAAAGTCGGCAGAAGAGATATGCTCTTATATCCACCGGTCCATGTCAACATATATCTCATCATCGAATTATGGTTATAAAAAAATTACATTTCCTGGGCGTATGATATATCATATATGTCATGTTAACACAAATAGGGAAAAAAAACAACTGTACATTGGATTAGGACAAACTAAGATTCAGGTTCATCTTTAATCCAAAAGAAATATATAATACCCATTTTCCATTTTATCCATATTCATGCCTCTTTGTCTTCGAATTTTATAATCCCGAATCGGATTCTGTCAATAAACCTTGGTAAAAAAATTTCTCTAAAAAAATAAGAGATAATTTTCTTATATACCCGTAGATAGAATAGAACCCGTATCCTATATTTATATATACGAGTGTGTGTGTGATACATTCAAAGACTAAATTTATACACGATTAAGAATCTGATTTGCCCAAAAAACAGAGAACAAAAGATTATATGGGCTGGTTGGTTACCCATTCAATATGCCCTTTAGGACGAAAAAAAAATCAACAAACCAAATCCAACAAGTAAATCTAAGGCACACAAGACAGAAGACATCAAATCTCGCATTAATGGGGATTATGGGACCAAAGTGAAAGCGACAACTGCCATTCCCTATTTTATTATCTCAATGCCTCATAATTATATAACTCCATCAACATCAAACATCAAACATCTATGTATATATATATATATATATGGTAAGATCCTCACCACACAATGAAAGTTTTCGATTCTACCTTTTTCTTGAATCAACCTGGGAGTCAGTAAATTCCAGAAATATGGTATGGATGATCTGTGTTGGTTCACACTTAGAACAAAAAGAGATAATATAAATGTTAGAGAAGAAGTTTGAAACGCAGAAACACCAATTTCATATGTATAAGAAAGAAAATGGAAATCTCCCCCCTTTTTTTTTCCCCTCCCCCCACAACTCTTGCGTTCTCTTGATGGCCTGCGGGGGTTCGGTTTTGTTTAAGAACCGCAACACGCTGATTTTTGCGCAGCTTGCGACGTCCCTGCGGCCTGGTCGGGTTGGTTGATCTTTATTGTTTGTGGCTACAAAGAAATGGTTGAGTTATCTCATCAGAAGATCGAAACTGTAAAAGCAAAATGATTCTTAAGACATGAATCGATTATTTCTCAAGATATTCAGTAATGCCTAATCGTCCCTCTTTCATCTAAAGATTTTAATCTAATCAAAGCTGTGGGAGATTACTTATTGCAGCATACTACAAGCCGGTTGCTTCACACCCTACTCAGGCTAAATGCATTTATATGCATGTATAATGAGGATGACGATAACACAATCACGGATGGAGATCATAGCTAAAAATACCTCGGCTCTGGCATCAGTATCTGCGAGTCTTTGCTTAATATCTCTAGCGATTGAAAAGAAAACTTCTTCCACGTTCAAGTTCGTCTTGGCACTCTGTAGAAATCATACATTGAGGTCATCAAATGAAAAGAATCGACATCATTCTTTTTAATTTCAGGGTTATAACAATACCAATAACGACTACTTACAGTCTCAAAAAACTTGATCCCGTATTCATCGGCAAGAGCTTGGCCCTTGGATGTTGGTACAGCCTGAAAAAGGGAATAAATTTATACCGCAGCGAATATTAACCAGACGAATCACTGGTAAATAGGGAGAGAGAGACAAAAGAAGAGAGACTCTTTTGCTTTCATCCATATCAGCCTTGTTCCCAACTAGAATCTTGTTGACATTGTCGGAAGCATGCTGCTCAATGTTACGGATCCAATTCCTGATGTCTAATCCAATTCCACAAGAAGAAAACAGCAATAGAAAATAACAAATCAAAGGTCTATCGATATTAGTAAAAAGATAATTACCAGAGATGGCAACCAAAATCCTTAGAACAGTTGCAAAGAGTCAGCCATATATGTATATATATATACGGCCTGAACTAGATAACAAAGTAAACTGCAAACTAAAAGCAAAAAGGAAGTAATTACTGTTGAAAGACGATTCATCGGTGACATCATAGACCAGCAAAATGCCCATGGCTCCACGGTAGTATGCTGCAAATAAGATAAAACCACTGTATAAGTATGTACAAATTCCAACAACAGTAGAACCAATTAAAAAGCAATGCGGCATAGATTCCCAGAGCATATCAGAAACAAACCAGTTGTGATTGTCCGAAACCGTTCCTGTCCAGCGGTATCCCAGATTTGCAGCTTAATTCTCTTGCCATCCAACTCTATTGTCCTTATCTTGAAATCGATGCTGTCAACCAGTACATCAACTGAGTGAAAACAGAAACACTAAGCAGAAAACATGACAAAACCGGCCGCGCAATGAAGACATACCCAATAGTTGTAATGAAGCTGGTGGTAAAGGAGCCGTCCGAGAAACGTAAAAGGAGACAACTCTTACCCACACCTGGTGCATTCACGAAATACGCACGTGAAAAAAGGGCATGCGGGAAAAAGAGATAGATAGAGCGGAAGCTTTACCAAAGCCAACCACAACAAGATGTGAATTGGATCACGAACGGACCATTTCAAGTCGCTAGTTGTCAGTGCTCTCGCCTACCTAGCTTTATCTTTCGATAGTTTTGATTAGCACGAATTTAAACATCTTTTTCATGCAAGGCAATCTTCAGTACTCAGATTCAACAAATAAGAACTCAGGCATCAGAAATTCATCAAAACGACTTCATCAAATTCAAATCTAGATATAGAAAAGTGTCACTGAATCCAATTAGGGCCATCCGTAAAGGTCAAATCCAAAACCCGATCACTCGGTGTCTCGGTCCTCGAAGCAAAAACTAGAGCGTATAGGACCAATGGAAAGAACTACATGCATCAACAACACCGTAGGAACGGAAGCAGATCCCAGAAATGCAGGAAACTCGTCGAACGAAAATAATATCGCGAATCGAACGAGGAACTCACCGCTGTCACCGATCAACAGAAGCTTAATGAGGTAATCATAATCAGCTCGAGATCTAGCGGGAGGAGCAGCCATAACGTAGCACAAAATCAACACCAATCGCAATCTCAGATAACGAATCACTGAACGAAAACATCAAATCAACGTGAGAGAGTGGAAATGAGGGAAAGAGTAC